TTTAGGCCCATTAGTTTATGTTTTTAAGTTGTGACTGTTCAGCTACATTAGTAGCCGCCCTACTAAGGGCATCCTTGTAATATCTCATCCTTTGAGTTAAGTATAAATATAATGAGGGGTTGGCGGCTAGGGTTAATTCAAGCATCCTGGTTGACTTCCTACACTTTTCTCCCTCTCTTTTCTTCTCTACTACTGAAATCTTTATCTTCCTCCCCTTTTCCTTTTACAAGAAATTCAACTAAATCTACAATCAGTGATTTCTACTTGAATCTATCATTACCTCTCTCTTTCTTTGTACTTCCCTAATTTTCTTTAATGCAATTTTTTCAGTCTTTTTGAAGATAAATAAAAAAGAAAATTTTATTGCTGAAAAAAGAAGGTACATCTAACGCAAGTGACCAGGAGTCACCCACTGGAACAACAACAACAAAAAACAAAATACATAACCAAACAAAACCAGTACGCTAAACCATATTTTAAACATTCAGAGTATTCCAAAAGCTAAAGCCAAAATCTTCTTTCTTTAGGCCCTCAAATTCTGGGAGAACAAGCACCCAACCAGCAGCTACAGAAGAAATTTCCACCCCGACTTCTTCCAAGCTTTTCATTCAATCTTCAAATATCCTCTTGTTTCTCTTGCTCCAAACCTCTCAACAAACAACAAATGGGATACAACTCCATAGTATTTTTGCTTTAGTACTTACCGCAACTCTCGGTCAATCACCAAATATTCCAGCAGGATCCACTGGAGCCCATCCAGAAACTTTAAAGAACTTAATGAAGAAGGACCATATCCTTTACACAAAGGGACAATGAACCATCAAGGAAATCCATGGCTGTCAAGAATTGGAGGAGTGTTTAGGGATGATGCAGGGAAAGTGGTAACTATATCCTCAGGGCCAATTGGAATAGGGCACTCAGCAAGAGCAGAAATAACAGCTTTACATCAAGGTCTGAAATGAGCAAAACAGCAGGGGTTTTAAGAATATGGAGATAGAGGGTGATTCAGAGTTAGTAATTTCTTGGATGATGATAGCAGTCCAGGTGTGTGGATGTTCAGACATCTCCTCAGAGAAATCAAAAGCTTAGCGAAGGATCTTGAAGCAAGCTTCAAGTGGGTCGAGAGAACAGTAAATGGGATGGCTGATACTTATGGAAAAACAAGGGGTGTATAAGGTTCAACTTTTTGGGGCAGATTTGGGATAGAAGTTGTAACTCTTGATATGTTGTGCTTTTCCTTGTATTGAAACTGCACTGTTATATTTTCTTCATATTGAATGAAGTAACTTATTGATTACTAATAAAAAAAATGATATTGAATAATGGCATGTCCTAATGCTTCCAAAAATTCCACTTGTACCATTTTTCCCAAACCCACAATTCCTCGTCATTTGTAATAGGAAAGACCAGTTCACCAAATTATATGCTTTCTCCAAATCAAGTTTACAAATCAAGTTTACAAATCAGACATTTTTCTCCAATCGTTTTCTTATCCTCCACACACTCATTTGTGATAAAGATTTGATCACAATTTGCCTATCTGTTTTCCTCTTAATAAGATTTCCCTTTTAATTAATTCCAAAACAATTAAACATCCAACTGGAGAGTATCCCTTGTGAAAATTCCAGACTGCTTTTATTTAAGCTCCAATTTATCTCCAGTCCTGCATGCCTACGTTTGTAAATTTTTCAAGTTCCAAGACAAAGGAACCACCAAAAGAGAATAGAAGATACAACTTTTATTGTAGACCCACCATACCCAAGATAAGCAAAAGTTCTATTTACATCAACCAAGGACACTTAAAAACATATGGAGAGTAGGCAGTTCTGAAAGTTCATCCAACAACTACACTGTTATTTGGGGCTACAGAGATCTTCAGAAAAAAGTAAAATCACTCACAAGGAATATGTCAGTCAGTTTCCAGTGGGTTGGCAGATCAGCAAATTCCTTGGCAGACTCTCTAGCTAAACAAGGGGTTTCTTGCGTTTCTTTGTATTGGACTAACTTATAGTTTTGTTTACGGATTGAGTTGGATCTATACTCATCCCAGTGGGGAGGTAGCATTTCATGCCTCCTCCAAGGTTGACTGTACTCTCCTTTGTTTCTCTATAATAACATTGCTTACTCATTCATCAAAAAAAAAAAAAAAAGTCCATCCAACAACTCAAATTAATGTTTCAAATAGCATTGCTTCATAGTCCTAAGATTCAAACCTTCTTGACGTCTCTAGATGATACCAGAGGCCTTGCTGAGTCATGGATGCATACAAGCTCAGACTGAACATCAACTGCCTGCAAAAGTACAAAATCTAATATTTAATTATGTGCAGGAACATAGACTATCAGCTACAATATAAGCATACATTTATCAAGGCATCATCATTAACAATGAGGATAAGTTCTGTTGTTTTTAATCTTTATCCTGACTGTTGTTTGTAAATAAAGTAACCCAATCAATAAATATTGATCTCAAAGTTGTTAAAAGGAAACAACCATAAATCCACAACATGAAATTTAGAATAATTTATCTGTCTGAATGAAGAGGACTTGCACTCCAGACACACACAAAAAAAAAAAAAAAAAAACATGTAGATGGTATGTTCTTGCCCAAACTTTGCTGACAGGAACACAATTAAGATAACCCTGTTTATTGATGCCCAAACTTTTAATATTGTTCACTCTGATGTATAAGGACCTTACCATTTGCCTTATATGGGTGGATATAAATATTTCATTCTGTTTATCAAGGATTTTTCATGGTATGCCTGGATCTATCTTATGCGCTCTCATGTCGAGGTGCCTAAACTTGTGCAGAAGCTCCATCAATATATATTCACCCAGTTTGATATCTGCATCAAAATATTCCTATTTGACAATGCTAAGGAATATTTTGAGAATGATCTTACCTCCTATTTTGAAAAGTTTGGGGTTGTTCATCAGAGCTCTTGTACCTATACTCCGCAACAAAATGTAGCGGAGAGGAAAAACATACACATTGTGGAAGTTGAGTAGAAATCTGCTGAATTCAAAAATATGAACAGAAAAAAGTAGTTTCTTGAAGAGAGAAGGAGAAGAGGAGAAGAAGAGATCTTTGAAAAGAAAATAGAGCAATAATCTGTCCGCCCCCTTCACTTATTATTTATACTAAAAATATAAGAGCAGTACAAAGACAACTATGCCCTCATAGGGCGGCATAACATAAAACAGCATATATAAGACTAAAAAACATAATAAAATTTGGACTCATATAATTACTGTGGTCCCACCTCCAATCTAACAACTAACATAAAACATCTACTCATAAAACAACACAAAACTGATTAATCTTCAACACTCCCCCTCAAGTTAGGAGTAAATGTCACACATTCACAACTTGCGTAGATCATGTTCAAGTTTGTTCTTTGCCACCCCTTTAGTGAGAACATCAGCCAACTGCATCTCTGAAGAGACATAAGGCAAGCAGACTTCTCTAGCTATTACCCTTTCTCTTATGAAGTGTCTATCAACTTCAATGTGTTTTGTCCTATCATGCTGAATTGGATTGTGGGCAATATTGATTGCAGCCTGATTGTCACAATACAGCATCATAGGTTCCCCTTCTTTCACCCCAATCTCACTCAAAAGAGATCTAACCCAAAGAAGTTTTGAGACACCACGAGCCATGGATCTATACTCAACCTCTGCATTTGACCTTGCCACAACCGCTTGCTTCTTACTTTTCCATGAGATCAAGTTTCCACCTACAAAGGTACACACTCCTGACGTAGAGCTCTTGTCATCTAAGCACCCTGCCCAGTCTACATCTATATAGGATTCTAGCTTTAGATTTTCATGATTTGAGAAAAGAATGCCTCTGTCAGGGCGTTTTTTCAGATATGCAAGTATTCTCTCAATAGCTTCCCAATGTTGAACCCGAGGTGCATGCATGTACTGACTCACAACACTGACAGCATAGAAATCATCTGGTCGTGTCATACACAAATATAGCAGTCGGCCCACCATTCTTTGATATCTCCCCACATCTTTTACTAGCTCACCATCCACAGCATTAATTCTATGATTTGGATCAATAGGAGTGTCTGTTGGTTTGGTCCCCAGCTTCCCAGTCTCCCACAGCAGGTCAAGTACATACTTTCTCTAAGAGATGAAGATTCCATGCTTGAATCTTGCAACTTCAATCCCCAAGAAGTATTTGAGCTCACCAAGATCTTTGATCTCAAATGTTTGTTATAATGATTTTTTGAGATCATCAATCTCCTCCAGATCATTTTCTGTAACCACTATATCATCCACATACACAATCAAAATTGACACCAGAGCATCTCTCCTCTTTACAAAGAGGGTGTGATCAAACTGGGTTTGAGTGTACCCAAAACGGATAAGTGCCCCTCTGAACCTGTCAAACCAAGCCCTAGGTGACTGTTTCAGGCCATACAATGATTTTCTGAGTTTGCACACCTTTCCTTAAGCAACGTTTTCATAAAAACCTGCTGGAATGTCTATATATACCTCCTCCTGTAAATCACCATTAAGGAAAGCATTTTTAACATCAAACTGAAACAAGGGCCATGAATAGGTGGCTGCCAGAGATAAAAGAATACAAACTGAACTCATCTTAGCTACCGGTGCAAAGGTTTCTAGATAATCAACACCATAGGTCTGAGTATACCCTTTTGCTACCAACCTTGCCTTGTACCTCTCTATCTTACCATCGGCCCTGTACTTCACAGTGAATACCCATCTACATCCGACTGTCTCCTTGTTTGGAGGGAGATCAACTATTTCCCAAGTTTGGTTTTTAACCAAGGCTTCCATCTCTTCTTGCATGGTTGTTTTCCACTCAGGTTTGGAGAGAGCCTTAGTAACACTCCTGGGTATAGACATAGAATCCAGGGAAGAAAGGAAAGCTCGATAGGAGGGTGATAAGGCACTGTAGGAAAGATAGTGTGAAATGCAATGGGTTGTACACTTTCTTTTCCCTTTGCAAAGTGCAATGGGAAGATCAAGGTTAGTGGGATCAACTGCAACAATGGTGTTAGGTACAGAAACATTATTATTAGAAAACATAACAGGTTCAGGCTCAAGGGGGAATACCTGGAACTATATCTGTTGAATCTAGAGCTTCAGAAGTATTGATAGAGAGTGGTGTGGGTTGAGGATGTGTGGAGTCAACCATCATCTGCCGATGCTGATATTTCTGTGAGGTTGCCCGTAGTGGCTCAAGCAATGAAACTGATGGAGGCACAAAAGAAACAAGAGGAACAAACTGTAAGTTCTCCCCAAAACTCTCCCCCTGAGAACCACTCGAGAAGGTGGATTCAAAAAAGGTAACATACATAGTGACAAATTTGCTCATCGACACAAGGTCATAACAGCAATACCCCTTTTGGTTCAGAGCATACCTAAGGAAAACACATTTCTTGGCATTAGGATCCAATTTCTTGCGATGGGGGCCAAGAATGTGAACAAAGGAAACACAACCAAAAACCCTCAAAGGTATGTGAAATATCTCTCCATCTGGAAAAAGAGGGCTAAATGGCACCTTAAACCCCAAAGCCCGTGAAGGAACACGATTAATCAAATGCACGGCTGTAAGAATTGCATCTCCCTAGAAATGCATAGGAACTGAAGCACACACCATAAGACTTCTTGCCACCTCCACAATGTGTCTGTTTTTCCTCTCAGCTACTCCATTCTGTTGCGGTGTATATGGACAACTACTCTGATGAATTATACCATGCTCCAAGAAATATGTGGTCAGGTCCTTCTCAAAATACTCTCTAGCATTATCTAATCTAAAGTCTTTAGTTCTCCCTCCAAATTGTGTGAGAACCATCTGGTGCAACTGTCGTACCAAGTTAGGAACTTCATCTCATGATTTCATCAAATATATCCAACAATACAGTGTATAATCATCCGCAAATAAGAGAAAATAATGGTATCCTCCTGTTAGTGGTGTTAGTGAAGGGGTATTTCGGTCTTTGTACCTGTTGAGAATGTTGATGTGTACTGTTATGTTAGTTTGAGTGCCTCTAACTTAAAGAAGGGCACTTAAGTCTTTTCCAATAAGTTAATAATATAATAACAGGTCTGGCTGAATCTAGGGATGACTTTTTCTCTAATTCGAACCAGCCTT